CGCGCGCAGGCGCGGAGTGGAGAGCAGCGCAGCCCGCTGGCGCCTCTTTTGAACCACAAGTGAGGAGCAACAGACACGCAGCTCAGAAGATTCTGGAAGGCGCGGGATGCCCTTGGTGTGCTGACCCAGGCCGAACCGCGCATGCGCCGGGGCCTGCCTCGCCTGCGCATTTGGAGGACCGGTTGGTGGCCTTGCTTAGTCCTTCGCCTCTGCTCCCAGGACACAGCAGGTGTGAGCTATCCGCCCAGGTGAACAGGCTGCCGGTGAAGTGCCCTGCGCGCTTTCCCGCAGACTCTCCCATACTGCATTGAAGGTTGCTCCGTGGGAAAGCCCATAGGGGCCGGGATACCCGGGTGCAGTGGAGGGGGTGGCACAAAGGACGCAGATCCATGGGATCCTTTGGGTCAGAGGACGGGCCGCTGTCCCTGGAGCCTGCTCTGCTTTTCATTCTTCCCCATCACAGAAACGAGTGCAGCTATTACTCTGTGTTAAGTGGAGGTCAGCCTATTATTTATGAAGTGCCTATTGAGTGCTGTGTCCAGGTTGCTAGGACTTAAAGGAGCCCATCACCCGGGTTTAGGCCTGACTTTAAGATGGGAAGGAAGGGGAATTTGAAAGGCAAAATGTAATGAACTGAAAGATGGACTCTTAATTGACCTTTGAGGTCAAGGGTCAGGATCAGAAAAAGCTTCCTGGAAGATGTGGAGTGTGAATAGGCTGTGAAACGTGGAATGCTTTCTGTTACGGGAAGCTGCAAAAATCAAAAAGAAAGAGAGGCAGAAAATGTAAGAATTTAATCCTGTCATACTTGAGATTTACATTGGAGAGTGCTGGGTAGGGCTTATGTGGGGAAGTGAGCTGGAGAGTCACTGGCCTCACTTTCTGATAGGGCTGAAGACACAGAAACACCTGTTTACCTTAGAATAAAAGGCATCAAGGACTTACTCATGTTGACTTACTGGACCTCATGGATGTGGTTTTACTGTGCATAAGTAAGTTCAAATACATCGTAATTAATTCATGAGTAAGATAATTGCATTGCATTGTGTGTATTAGATATAAAATGTGAAAATATGCTGGTTTTCATAACCTGTTTTCCCCATTTGATTTTTATGTACCAAAGTCTAAGAAAAAGACAGGTGAACCCAAATATTTCTTGACCTCCAGGAGCAGGCTATGATTTAAGACTTAGTCTGAAAAGTAGTGGGTGATTTAGTTTCATTTCCTTTGAAGGACATATATAAATGCACAGATGAGAAAATATTTTTCCAGGCCTCTTATTCTAGTTTTTGGTTTTGGAAAAAAGGTCACAGTTAACTAAAAGATACTAATTTTCAAATGTGTCATGTAATGGAATACCTAAAGTCATGATGTTTATTTTATAGAATGCTGTGAACTACTCATGTATCATAATTAAGTGATTTTTTTAAAAAATTCTAGTTTTTCCTAGTACCATTAAAAGATGGCTGGTGCTTATATTTAATAAATTTGTATTGTCACAAAAATGCCTTAATTTATTGTAAATTTAGGGGAAACTAATTCTTTGGCAGAATAACCTAATTCAAATCCGAGAACTCCAGAGGATCGTGATTTAAGAAACACAGAGAGTTCAGAAAGAACTCCCTTCAAATGATGTGAGAACAGATTAACTGAGATAAGGCTAAAATTGGACTCTGGACTGATACTGAAATTTCAAACTAGGCAATTGCTGCATATTTTTGTGTTACCCTGAACAAATTGTTCTTTAGGTTTTTATTAAAATGATGTTTTGCTGGATATTATTGTATTATGATTGATAGTGTGAGATACTAGGAATTCTGCCCTTTGTAATCAAGATAGTAGTGCTTTTGGTTGCATCTTTTACTTAAATCATTTTAATTGCAAATACAAATAGTATATGCTAAAATCTATCAACCTAGCATCCCTGTTGAAAATCAAATTTTAAGATATTATATCACATCTGTTATCATAGAGACATCAGTCACAGGTAGATACTTGTAGAATATAAATTGGACTTTTTTAGCATGGTTACAGATGCCAAGCTTGTCTAAGAATGGATCTACAAAACCATATTTTTTTGTTTTTCAAAAGTCCAAGTGACACTTCTATATGAATGTTAAATTTGCACATAACATAAAATCTGCTTTAGGAAGTTTGATTTCAGGATTCACCATATTCAGTACAACAATACTAAATAATTAGCTAAACTCCGAGATTTCTAAATGCCAAGAAAGGGACAAACATTTGTGCACATAAAATTGCCTTCTGTTTCTATAGATGAGAAAAGGTAGCTTTAATTTTCATGCTTTGACATGAACTTTTAGGTTGTTCAATGGAAATATGGTTAATCCTTAATTTACTTACCCTTTAGAAAAAGCTTTAACTGCAAGAATTGTAAATTAGTGATATCTTCAAAGAAAAGATTATGCTTAACTTTTGGAGCCAGTTTTGTAAGACAAAAAGTTGAATTGCTGGGGCTGGGGATTTAGCTCAGTGGCAAAAGCACCTGCCTTGCAAGCAGGCAGTCGTGAGTTCAATCCCTGGTACCAAAAAAGACAAAAAAAAAAAAAAAAAAAGATTTTCTTTAAAAATAGTATATGAAGTTATATTAAAATATTTCAAGGAAAAAGACAGACACTATGGTAACTACTATTAAATCAGGTTATTTGGTGGTGAAGCACTAGGTCACCGAAACAGTCATGCTTTGACCTGTATTGTTATGTTGTTATGTCCTCTTTTATCTCAATCTCTCCCTTATTCATTAAAAAAATTAGTTATTTTTTATGGTTTTTTTAATTAAGGGGAAAAATAAAAAAATTAGCAGGATATATTATAGTAACTTTTTTTGATTTCCTATTAACTTGTTTTGAAGTCCTGTAATACTCCCACTATCTTGTTTTGACTGATTAGACTCTGTTCCATTCTGTATGATAGTATGAAGTTTGGGGGTATAGGCAACTACTTTGAAGGCAGTAAGATTCACTAAGATGCCCATTCTGGTTTGACTATTATCTCCTTTGGAAGTCCTGTAATGTTTACAATGTTTAAGTTTTATTGATCTTGTTCTCTCCTGTTTTGTTCAACTTTATAATACCTAATGAGATAGACAATTCTTTTTAAGGAAACAAGAGGCATTATGGTAACCATTGTTGATAACCTTGTACTCTGTTCTTACATCATGTACTAAGTCTATACTTGGTTTTGATTGACAGCTTTGTTTTGCCATATTTGACTTTATTCTCTTCCAAAAAAAAAGTAATAAGAACTAAGGAGTAATAAAACCCAAAATGTGTAAATTTTGTTGTAAAAAAGAGAGGGGAAAAAAGTGCTCTAAAGGATACAACTGCAAGTGTGTTTAGGGGTGTTAAATAGCTGACCATATTAATGTTTTTGGTTGGATCATTGAACACAACTGTTTGCAGTCTCTCTGCTTGAATGTTCACTTTGTACGCTTTGATACTGTGACTTGAGCAACTATCTCTAAGACAATAATGTGTAATCTATTAACTGGTGATTTCTTACTGTTTTTTTTGTAGTTTTGTATTACTTGTAACCTTACACCGCTTTGTTTTGTTTTGTTTTGTTTTGTTTTTCTCTTTTTCCTTTTAAATAAAATTTTTTTAAAAAGTTGAATTGCTCAAGAAGATCCAATATTTTGATCTAACCATTTATTTTGTTTGGAATGATAGATGAACGAGTTAGGTACTTTCTCAGTCTGAAAAACAATACATTTTCATCTACAGTAATGTTTTATTTGATAATATATCTTTATGATTTTATTATCTGTAGAATATGCTACTGCTATTATTTTCTCTATTAGACAAAATATATAGATGTAGGCACCAGAAAGCCAGGTATACTCTTGAAGTTTGTCTCAGAAATTCTTGGACAATGAAAAGAAAATCTGAAATTCACCTTTTTCACTATTTTACTAGTGTTGTATTTAGTTCTGTGATATTAGTAAGAATCTCTAAGGGTGTTGACAGTGTTAGAGTCATTAAGCCAATGTGTTAAATAATATTTTTATTGATTAAACAAAAAATTTACCATAAGCTTAATTCTTTTCTGTTCCAAATCTACTGAAAAATTTAAGATACCTGTCACATGACTCACCTGAGTCTAAACATCCAGTCTAAATATTCCCATATCAATATTTTTAATGAGATCTTTAGTATCTCCTATTAGGACTGTTAAAATGGCCTCCTAATCTCCCTGCCTCTATAGAGTATCTATATTTAAGCTCATCCATTTTTTCATTATGCTATAAGGCTTTATAGTTTTGGGGAAAGAGAGTTACTATGCATTTTAAATAAATTCCTAGGCATTTTGAAAAATTTTAAAGTGTTTTATAAAAGCAATCTTTTCGTATCATATCACTATGTAAGGAAGATACCGCCTTTCTCATATATTCTTTGATTCTAATACTTAACAGTGTTCTAATTACATCTAAATTTTTTTGATTGGGATTCTTGGATTTTCTATCTATGAGAAATGATCAAAATATACGGTGAATGTTCAAAGTTTGAAAATTTTATCACAGTAAAAGACATATTGCTACAGTCTCCTCAAATTACTCCTCATTTCTTCAAGCACACTTATCCCAGAGTTCATGCCACTTTCTGAAGCAGTTCTGGAAGTTCTCTTTCATGTTGGTATGGGAAAGATAAAAAATATGGTGCGTGTTTGCCTGATGTGGTGGTGCATGCCTGTAAACCCAGGCAGAAGGTTGAAGCAGAAGGATTGGTGAGAGTTGAAGGTCAGTCTAAGCTACATAGTGAGTTCAAAGAAAGCCTGAATTTTACAGTGAGAACCTGTCATACACACGCACACACATAAAAAAAATACTGTGAATTCTTTTGCCAAGTGCCATTCAAAAGAAAGGCAGTAACAATAATTTTTAACACTGTACTTTTATCTCATGTTATAAAGTCTTTCAGTGGCATGATGTGTCATTCTTCTCTATTTAGAAAGTAGAAAATAGATTTTTTTAATGAAAAAGAGCTCAAAGAGAAGAGATTTTTAAAATGGTAAAGTATTAATGGAGTTTATAAAAAGTTTTAATGTAAGTTTCTTATAGCAGTTTGTCAAGAGATATATTTTCCTGCAGACAGTTTATATTTGCATTCCGTTACTTTTATGCTCTCTGAAAAACATCTCATTCTTAAACAAGCAAACAATTTAGGCATAATATTATTGGATGAGAGGTTATTAAAGTCATTCCCTGCTTTCTTTTAGGCAAATGAAAATTCATTTTATAATTTCATCTACTCAAGTGTACTCACTTTACATTATCTTTTGGTAAATAACTTCAATTATCTAGCAACACTTTCTGTCAAGAGTTCTTTTCTCACAAACAAACATAAATTATATGTTTATAATTGTTATATATAACAAACTATAAACTGCTTTATAAGGATCCTGGGTATTCTACATAGCTTAACTCTAAATGTAAAAGAATCCTAATAATGTTATATAATTGGTTCTACATAAAAATTTTATAATTCACATGTTAAGCCTTAAGTGAGGATAGAGATAAATGATAGTATTCTACATAGCTTAACTTTAAATGTAAAAGAATCCTAATAATGTTATATATTTGGTTCTACATAAAAATTTTATAATTCACATGTTAAGCCTTAAGTGAGGATAGAGATAAATGATACTTATATTTTGATTGCCACTAGTATAAAGACCCATTAGAAGTAATTTATTTAAGAATTTAATCATTCTTTTACTTAAATATTCTTATTTATTTATATATTATCTCTGTCAACCCTGAGACCTTTCTCTGCTTTGCTCAAAAAGAAGTTTCATCTAGTCAGTGATTAAAACATATATATTTGCTTGTCTGTTAGAATAACTATGAATAAGATGATTATTTTATTCCCTGTCTTCTAGATGGAGATGTGGAATTAGTTAAAAGTGTGCAGAATCCCAGGAATGGTGGGTAAGATTATTGGGAATTAAAGATAGCCATCTATCAATAACTTGCTGGCGTTAATGTTCCATCATATGTTTAACAGTGCTATTCTTTGGTCAAGAGTGGAATTCTGTATTTTTATTTGTCTTGAGGAAGATGTTGAAGGTGGATTTTGAAGTTCTTTTAGAAATTATGTATCCTGGACTCATGTTATAATGAGGTTTTTATCATGAGCATGTTAACATCCTACTTTGGTTTTTGACATGAATCCATGATATTAATGCAACAGTAAAGCTAATGTGTTTTCTTGCTCTTTCCATTCCAGCTGCACAGTAGTTTGGCTAGCATGCAGTGTTATTATTTCAAGAATGTTTGCTATTATATTTCTTGCCAAATTCGTACTGTGTATCATTCTAAAAAGGATTTAACATTGTTAGAATGTTTTACTTTAGAAGATTGAGCTTCTAAAATTGGAAAAATGTTCATTTTAATATACAGAATTTTTGTTTTGAAGGCTGTAATGCTTTCATTCTTCTGTTTTGATCAATTTTGTACTATTTTGTTTTGTTTTAATTCATTGCGTATGAAGATATGAACAACTATTTTGAACAAAACAAGAGCCATTATGGTAGCCACTGTTGATCTCCTGTTTCTTGCTTTGAAATTTCATTCTGTGTCACTTGCATTGTTTTGTTTCTGATCTGCTTTGTTCTGTTTTACCCTCTTTAAAATAAAAAATATAAAATTTTTAATGATTTAAGATACTCAATTAGAATTAATAAGAGACAACTAAAAATACATTTTTAATGCTCATGAGAACAATGAAAGCTGGAAATAGATCTGAGGACCCATGAGAGTACATGCACTCTTCAAAGCCTTTAAATATGACTATGTTCATTCTATTGGAAAAAAAGTATGACTATGAAAGGATATAAGAAACAAGAAATTTAAAATTAGATTGGAAAGATTTGTAAAGTTTTCTAAGGGTGCTCAACATTGTAAGACAGTATAGGATAATCAAGAAATAGCTAACTCTGGTATGTACTGAGTTTTCAGAGGATTTTCATACAGGTATGTTCTCATCTGACTCTATTAGGAGATGAATGATAGGTAATACATGAACACAGAGAATTAACCATTGGGTATTTTTTTTTACTATTAATAGGTATTTTCTGATATTACAGAGAGCATTTCTTTAATTTATAAAATTACCATATGTAAAGACAAAATTCATAAATTAATAAAATTATGAAATTTAAGAAAACAGGTATTTTAAAAGAAATGATGGTCAGTAAGCTGGTGGGCATATGAAAAGATGTTCAATGACAAAATGAAGATGCAAGTTAACCTGCTTTTCTGTTTTGACAGATGTCAGAAAAGACAGACAACATTGCAGTAGAAGAAATTACAGGCAAGCATCTCTCAAAAGGTTTTCAATAAGTATACCACATGATTTTCTTAATTTTTGTTTTTAAAAGATATAAATGATTACTCTTATGCTAGACATTCAGCCAAGAACATAACTTTTTAAAAGAATGATTAGGTAATATAAGACAGACATAAGGAAATACCTAAAAAACTCAATGTATCTAGTACAAATAAGTTTCATATTTTCCATCTTTCTTTTTCTACAAACATAGAGAATTCAGTGGTGCTTGAGACAGCCTATAGATATAGAACCTGCTTCAGGAAGATCCAAATCTTGGGGAGAAAAATAAATAATGGTTGAACTCTGGTTTGTTTATCCAGCAAATATTTATTGAGCAACTTTTAATGTGCTGACTGCCAGTCTCAGGCTAGGAATAGAGTATGAAACTAACTTGTAACTTTTAAGTTGTACCAAGGAATACTATAGTTAAGTTCACAAAGATTTTCATGAACTACTGTGATTTAGATCGTACCTACCTCCCCCTTTTCCACCAATGTAACCTTTCAGTACTCAGTGACAAAAAGAGGAAAAATCAAAACACAGAGCTAACTGACCATTAGATCCTATACTTTTTTGCCTGCATCCAGGGCTTTCCTCTCTCTTTCTTAGTCCAACCAGTGCATCATACAGTAATTATACAGAAAATAACACATTGGTTAGAGTGCACACAACAGATGAGACCTTCTTTATACCCTACTTTATACCCTACAGGATTGTTTCATTTCCTCTAAGAACTGGCCAAAGTAGGGGTCAGATTATTATACTGATTCTATAAGATGGATATTAAGTACTTAGAACAGGTACTCAAAGAAAGACTCTGTCCAGTACCTGCAGAAGTAGAAAAAGAAGATGAAGAGGTCACAAAGAGCCAGAAGTCATCATAAGATTTAAGTGTTTCAGATAAGAAGAGGATTCTAAGCTCTCTTGGGGTAGTGGTCTAGCTTTTAGAATTGTAATGATGCTTAGAAATGCATGCAATTACGGTGTCTAGTAAATACTTCTGTTGTTACTGCTATTTAATTATAAGAAAGTACTGTGAACTCTACATTTTGTTGGTTTCCTGATTTAGATACAGAAGAAAATCAAAGCATACTAGAGACAGTAAGAGGCAAAATAAGAGAAAAACTAAGAAATGCTAAGGTAATTATTTTTTTAAAGTTCTTGTTTTCAAGTTTATCACTTTAAATGAAAAATATAGAATAATAAACTTGTATTTTTAAAAAAAACCTGAAGTAGCCATAGGTGACACATGTGTAATAATAGCACTCTGGGAATAGGAGACAGATAGAAGGATCTCAAGTTAAAGCCCAGCCTGGATAGTTTAGGAACGTGGCGACACCTTGTCTCAAGGAGCTGAGTGCAAAGGCCTTGGGTTTAATCCTTAGTACCAGAAAAAAAAATTGAAATTCAGTCCTTTTTATTGTCTGTGATTTTTTTCAATATGGGGCTTGGTCCAAAGCTCATACATGCCAGACAGTGCTACGCCATACCTTTAAGATGCATCCCCAGTCATAAAGTTCAATCTTCAACAGAGCTCCTTAATTTTAGAAAGCTTCAAATTCTTTGCTGCTTTTTCCCATTTTGTTGTGTGACATTCCTATAATGTAAAGTCTAAAGACTCAAAAAAAAGATGTGAGTGAGTCATATTAATTATATATGACATCTTGTGAAAACACATATGTACATACATATACATGTATACTTCTAAAAAGAAAAACTTCAGAAAGTCTTAATTTTTGTTATATAAGATTCCTGGGCACACTTACGCTTATTTTTATAATTTAATTATGCTGACGGGAAAAGTCTTCAACTCAGCTGTTCATTGATATTGAGATGGCATTAGTGGTCTAAGATGAATAACTTTTTTTTAAACAAAACTTTTTAAAATAGTTTTGTTGACTGCAAAAATTACCCACTTTAAGTGTATGATCCAATAACTTTTAGTTAACTTTCTAGAATTACGCAGTTGACACTACAGTCTAGTTCTAGGCTTACCACTTGGAAAAGGAGCCCTCATGGTAATTTTCAGTCACTCCCCATTTACAGTTGGCATTACTTTTTATCCTAAAAAAGTATGATAAAATATTCTTAAAAGATAAACTTAAGGGCTGGAGATTTAGCTCAGCGGCATAAGTGCCTGCTTTGTAAGCGCGTGGTCACAAGTTTAATCTCCGGTACTGATGAAAAAAAAAAAAAGATAAACTTAGGTGTAATAAAATTTTAAAGGATTTCTTTGTGCAGGCAAGCACTCTGCCACTGCACTGTATCTCCAACACAGTGATTAACTTTTAAAGTTAATAGGATAGCTAAATCATAGATGCAGACAGGCTACAAGATAAACTTGGGTATTTCTCAGATGTTGAATTTATTGCTATTAGCTGTGTGTTTTACTTTTTATTTTAGAACTGTTTCCTCACAAATCTCTCTTAAAACACTTTGATATATATATATATATATATATATATATCAAAGTCATGATTTTCATTTTAAAGATCCATTTTTCACAACATGACAAAAATAAAATCTTATTTATTGGCAAGTTTATAACTAAGAATATGCCAAGATATTAAATTATCCATAATTCCACCAAAGATTGTGAGATGAAATGGTACTTGTGTCTGTATGTGAAAACTCAGAACGTTTAAAAATAGAGAGAAAAATATCAGACTTGAGCCAGTATATTGTTCAGACTGTGAGGTGATACTCTTAATTCTCAGATTAAAGTGAGGAAATATCTTGGGAGGATGGAGATAGTGGCTTTTCTTTATTCTGGTTTATATTGCAATTACCAAAACATAAAAGAATTTTTGAAATCTCACAAACTAAATAGACTCAAATCTAAATATAACTTGATAGAAATAACTTAGTTGTCCTCTTCCTTTTTTTAAATAATAGTTTACCATATTACAGGCAAGTATTTCTTCACCTATAAGAAGAAAAATGTTCATTTAAACACTTAAGTACTCACTTACTATTATTTAACCCCCAGACTGAAGTCTTACTGGATGAAGGTCTTGCATTTTTCATTCTGAGTGGTGAAGAAGGCTCAATGTTGGGCCAGTCATCAAAGCAGGTTGGATTTCTTCGTTTCCCTCTCACATTCTCATTCTCAAGAAAGCAACTCTTTATTGGAGGCATAGGATGCAATATTTTATTGGAGATGAAATTTTTATTTTGTTTTCCTCTCCTCTTTCACCTGAGAAATTGTTCATAATAATACCTAACATTTATTATATATTGGATGCCAATGATACACTAAGCCTGTAAGATGAACTGGGTAATTTGAATCCCTGTGACAACTCTGTGAATCAGGCATTGTTATTTTTATCCTACAGGTGAGGAACCTGAGACAGAGTTGGTTGAGCATTGATAGAGCTGGGGAGTATAGGCTGTCTGCTCGGAAGCCTGTGTATTTTTTCCCCAGTTTCTCTCCAAGTACCCTACATTGTTCTCCATCATCTCTACTATTGCTTATTGTTTCCCCAGTCTTCATGCCTCCAAGGCCAATCCTGCAGTTTGATTTCTCCTAGTTCTTTCAGTTTCTTAGTCTTCTGTTGCTCTGTGCTGGCCCTTTCCTCCAGGATGAATTAGTCTCACTTATCTTTTTGCACACCTACCTGATTTGTCATCTCATTAACTTTCTTATTTTTTCCTGTTCTTAGAATTTTTTCCAGTTCCTCTGTACTTTCAAATCTCTTCACGGGTTTTTCATTTGTTTTAGTTTTTAAGACAGGGTTTTGTATTCTGGACTGGTCTTAAACTTATTAATGGCTCAGGCTGATCTAAAATTCATGATGATCCTCCTTCCTCAGTTTCCCAAGCACTGGGCTTACAGGCGTGAACCACTATGCCCAGCTGTCTTCATGGTATTTTTAAGGCCCCTGCTACTTGGAGCTACCTATTCCAGTTGTCCCACCTAATGTCTTCTGATACTTTCATTCATTCCACAGCCCTCAGGTTCTCCTTTCAAGTCCTTCTTGGGGCCTCCGTTTGCCCTCCTATTTACTTCCCAGTCTCCATCATTCCTTCCTTTGTATTCTTTGCTCTGTGTTTTTTCATTCCTTTTGGTTTTTTTCATGATAAAAATTTTATCATTTAAAATGTCAACCAGATGATGCAGAAATAGCACAGAAAACCATGAGAAAGAAAATAAAGATCATCCGAAATCCTACTGCCCTGAGACAACCACTGCTATCATTTTTCATACCTTTCTCTGTGCCTATGCTCATACATCCATACACATAGTTTTATATAAATAGAATCACAAGTGAATGATAATTCCATTTTTTTCAGTTGCTCAGCCAAACCAGATGTCATCCTTGGATATTCCTTTATTTGGGTGACTTGTTCATGACAAATCTGTTCTTCACCGTCTCTTACAGCTTATTTACATGCTACACAATATTCAGTGTGATCCTGTTGAAATCTAGGACAAACTATTCTTTTGCTTACACGATTTAATGATTTCCTGCCTCACTTAAAGTGTATGCTAAAGTCCTTATGTGACCTGGCCCCTTCAGCACCACTCTAACTTCATTTCATTTCTTCTACTTAGACCTTTTCTCACATCTACCTTCAACCACACTGGCTTCCTAATGTTCTTCACTTACAGCATTCTTTTGCCTATGTATCTGCGTAAAACAGTGATGTTGAATCTGTGATACCCATGCCACAGCAAGCTATTTGCTACCATTAAAAACTCTAAAAGTTTGCCATCACTGGCTTAGAGATTCCTGTCCTATCCTAATGCTCTATCCCTTAGGTACATTTGGGTCTCTATTCAAATGACACATTGTTAAAAATACTGTATCTGACAGCTGTTCCTAAAATGTCACTCAGCCCAGCATTTTCTCTTGTTTTATTTTTCTTCACAACATATTGCCATGTAACACTATGTCTATTTATTCATCTTATTTGCAGAATACATTAGACACTCAATGAATATTTGAATATCAAAAAAATGTTTACCAAACATCCCTGTGTTCTTAAATTCCAAGTTAATTGCATCCCACCATCCAGTGGTATAGATTACAACATGAGAATCCTGTCCTTGATCCTCCCATGCAGCAGAGTGCCAGTGTAGGTACTGGAGCCATGACTATTCTTCCCTCTCTTAGGGCAAGTCCACAATAAATCAGTTCAATAAGATTGGAGGAGTGGCAAAAAACTACTTGAGTATGAGGAATTCCAGGGTTAGATATTTAGAGGTGTCTGGAGAAGCTGTCTACCTGGTGATTTTGTGACCTAGAGAAAATTAGTCTCCCTATCATAAAGTGGAAAAGCCCCTATTTCACTGGAGACTGAATTTGTTTGTGGTCTCTTTCTGCTGAGAGATTGAAGACTAGTTCCAAGTATCTTGTCTAGACAACCTTGATTTAGATCTAAAAATAGTTCCAAATGTTTGCACCACAGTTTAACAGGCATGTTGCTCTAAGATGGAAAAGATGAAATAGGGGTAGGTAATATTTGTTTTTTACCACTCAATAGTCATTTAGAAGCATCCACACTCTTACCTTCTGAATTGTTCCCTGTCACACAGATACTGCTGTGCTGTACACTGTGTGGTGAAGACCAGGAAGGTGATCTAGGGAAGTAGTTGGACTTAGACTATATAAGAACAAATTAGGACATAGATATCTTATATTAGTCAATATCACAGTTTGTCTTGGGCTAAAAATAGAGTCACATTGGATAGAGGTCATAAAAGAGACCTGTAGGGACAAAAGACAGAAGCTAGATTGAGTTTCAGAGACTACCATTTGAGCAGACCTTGGCTCTGAGGGCAGTTTGAAAGCCCTGGCCCACACATTCGCAGCGCTGTACAGGAAAGTTGGATGGCATCTCCAGCTGGAACAGAGATCAGCTGTTAGTCTGTTATTGAGATCTTCAGAGAGATACACTATGTGCAAATCTGCCAAATCTTGCTCTTAGACATTATCATACCTTGTCTGAAGTATAAAAAAGAACATAAGGATTTATGTATGTAAATTTTTTTGATTTTATGAAAGGGATAAGCAGGTATAATGATATGATGACTTGATATGAACCTGCGTGATGTTTACAGCATTTTTAGAATTTTGTCAGAGTTGGTAAAGGCCATGCAAGGTTTTGTATTCAAAATAATTCTTTATTTCATTTTTTACCCTACTTAATTTTTGAGAATGTATTTTTAGTTATACTCATTCAGTACGTGTAGATTTCAAATGAGATATCATACAAGAAAATTCATGCTTTTATTTTTGTGAAAAGACTCCTGATCATGGTATTAAAATATATATTTTATTATTTAGCAATATATCTTTGTATCTATAGTCAAGTTATTTATACTATATATCATATACCGTATATATATAATACTTCAGAATTTCACTGTAATGACTCTGCTTATTTGTTGCTTATTTGTTGAATCTTTTATGCTTTTTTGCCTTTAAATTTCTTCTAGGAAATAGCATTCCTATTTCATATTATTTCAGGTAGCACTGCTTTGTGAGTGATAGAAAAAAGGAGCGATTAAGATAATATGATCTGTCATCTCTGGATTCTATCCTATACTTTTGAGTCTCCTATTTGAAATATCATAATCCAATATTTTGAAACATTTTCCCACAGGGCAGGAGGAGTTTAAATTACAGTTCTATTTCAGCACCTTTAATTGGAGAATTACAAAATTGGCTATAGAAAAATCATATTGTATAGTGATGAATTCCTCTATGTAAAGTGAAATTTCATTATAACACACTTCGAGCTAATACTTGATCTGAAAGAGGTATATCAGAAATACAGATTACGGTAAGGTTGCAGTATATTTTATTCATCCATGTCTTAATCATTGGGGACAAGATGTAAACTTATTTTTCTTTTTGGTATTCAACAGAGATCATTAAATGATAGTTACTCCAAATGCTTTACAGTTGGTAATAAATTACAAAATGTTGCTAAAAGCCAAGATGAAGATTTTATGGAAGAAGTCGTTTTTGCAGATTTATTTGAAGTAAAAGCTGCTGAATATGAAGATGATCAAGAAAAACTAACAAAAGAGCAGGCAAATATTTTTATGCCAAGTAGTTCCCCAGGTAATGTACTTTTCCACTAGAATATTGTCAAGTTATTGAAACATATTTTAAGATTTGTATTCTGGATAAATGAAAACATTGATCTTAAGCGTTTTTATAAGTTTTCTATGTTTTTCTTCTGTTTTGGACTTTAATATCTGTTTTATTATTAAGTGGCCAACCAGTATAAACTGCCAAAAGGTATGACCCCACGCATTTTAGAAGATGAAGGATTCTATATTCAGAAAAAGCCCAAAGTATTTAAAAAGACCTGCAACAAAATGGAAAATCGCCTGCTTACACTAAGTGAGGCAAGTGCACTAGTTGACAAGTTATACAAGTTATGGATATTGTGCATGAGACTTATTTTTAGAGAAATATTTACTATAATTCTTAAATATTTTTATAGGGAAAGTGTTGGTTTGAAGAGAGTGGAAAAATAATGTCATTACCTTCACCTATTAGACAGTCGTGGAATTTCAGATTAAACATCAGCAAGGAATCTTTAAACCCAGCACTAAAGACTACATACAAGAAGGTAACCATGTAATGATGGCTGGAATTCTTGTGATATCAATTATAACAAGTTTTTATGGTTTAATTTTACCCTTTAAATATATTGAGTCTAGTAATATAACATAATCTATAATGAAATCTAAAGCATCCCTTAAAATAGTGTTTTTGAGGAATATTTTATAACATGGAAAAATGCTCAAAATAAAATGTGGAGTAAAAAAAAGAAAAATCCAGCATCAAGGCCATTCCTAATTTTGACAAAACAACGAATAAATTAATGGCTTTCAAGGTAACCATTAATAACTTCTACCACCTACTGTGGCTCTCAGAAGCTGGAGAAGGTAATTGGGATGGTGGAATTTCTAAGGACACTCAAAGTGAGTTTAGACTGGAGAGCAAAAAAGCTAGAGGAGGAAGTCATTGTGGGCTTCAAGTTTCTGAAGAGCTATCTTTCAGGTGAAATATTTTATTAGTTCTCTATAACCAAGCAAGGTCAAAAAGATAGAAATGATGAGGGATAAATGTTAACAGAAAGCCAAAAACAAAACTGTGTAACACTGAAATTAATTCTCGAGAGGTAAACTCCCTGACACATTGGTTATAAGCAACAGACTTCTAAAACCTTGTAGTTGTTTGCCTGCCTTCTTGAAATCCAACTGAGGAATAAAGATGCTTCCTCGCTCAGGAAACATTTAGCTGCTATAATGGTAGCCTGTATTCCTTGAGGGACATTGATCTGTTTACATCAGGTTTGCAATGGGGAACAGTTTTTTCAGAATACCAAGCAAATGTAATAGCACTGTCACAAACTAGACAGTTTATTTTCTGTTGAAAATTACAGAATAGCACACACAGTATGTATAAGAGTAGAGGTTCATTTTTGGTTCATGGTTTTGTGCCACGTTGAGGGGCTGTATCTGATGATGACATTTTTGCTGGTAGGTTCCTGATATGGCACAGGGCATCAAATGACAAGAGACAAGGGGATATGCCAGCCCCAAAGAGATCCAGCCAAACTGGCTTTTATAGTAAACACATTCTTGTGATAACCCATTAAGCTACTAATCACATTCATGAATTAATCCATTCATAAGGCCAGAGCCCTAATCTTGTCTGAACAGGTCTCCCCTAGTCCCATCTTTAAATATCTCATAATGGCATTGAACTTCAATACAATATGAGTTTCAGATGAGATTAAACAATAGCACATGCCGTTTTATACTAGATGGATCCAGAGAGCGGGTTCAGTGTTGGTTAATTTATTTTGTAATACGAGGCCTTCTCACTGAGCTACATCTCCTGTCCTTTATTATTTTTTAAGATAAAGTTTCCTTGATTTTCTCAGTTGCCCAGGCTTGGATCACCCTGTCTTAGTCTCCCAGAGCACTGGGATTACAATCATGTGCCACCGTGCCCTACTTCATTTTTCTCCCTCTTAGATACATTTATCATAGCACTTACTGGGAGTAACTAGAAATTGATGAATTTGTCGATTTGATGATATGCAAGAATTAAGTTGTACATGTTAAGTAACACAGTAACTTCAAACTGAATCGCCAGATGAATCACATTAATGTTCAAATATATGCGATTAAACTCAAAATGGACTAAACCATTCATGAATCATTTTGCATATAATCTAGGCCTACAGAATTTCAGCAATTTAGGGACAATCTAGGGATCAGATAAAGACTATCTCTCAGGGGCTGGGGATTTAGCTCAGCGGCATAAGCACCTGCCTTGAAAGCAGGCAGTCGTGAGTTTGATCCCTGGTACCGATAAAAAAACAAAAAAAAAGGCCAAAAAAAAAAAAAAAAAAGAAAAGACTATCTCTCTTAGTCAATTTCCTGTCTCTGGGATGAAAGTACAACATTAACAACTTAAAGGAGGAGAAATTTATTTTGGCTCACAGTTTTAGTCCATGGACATCTTATTCTAAGTCACTAACAATAAAAGGGGCATGGTTGAGGAAAAGGTGCTCAACCCATGGCAGTGAGGAAGCAGAAAGAGAAGGGGAGTAAGTCCAGATCATCTCCCACCCAGTGACCTGTGACTTCTAATGAGGCCCCACTTCCTAATAGCATATTCAGCTACAATTTTATCAGTGGATAAATACAGTGCTCCCATAATCAATAATCTTCTAAAAGTAAACCTATATCTCTTTCCATATAATATATATATATATATGGAATATATATATGATAGCTAAGATGACTATACTACTAATTATGTTCTTAGAAAAGAACAGTTAATACTCATATGATTAAATCAATTTTGCATGTCTATATCTGGTAATTTAAACAACACTTTTGAAGATAACAGTTTGCAATATAACAACCATTGTTGAATTCCTACCATCCTGTTTTGAAAACTATATTGTTATTGGTTTTGGATTTTTTGTTTATTTGTTTTGTCTCTTTTGCTTTTTGTTTTTCTTTTCCTTCTGTGTTTTTTCTCTTTAAAAAAATAAAAATTTAAAAAGCAACATTTTCCCTATGTAGCATTTGTTTAGGTGACTGAAGTGCCTCCAGTGAATTTTCTAGATGATTACCAATATATTCATTTAGAAACAATGCTTTACTGAATCATTAGTATTTGACTCTAGCCCACAGATGATCAGTGTACCGCCATATAATCAAACTCAACCCAAAACTTGTTACATTTGTCATGGTGTTTCTGTAGGAAAGTATTTTTGGTCCCATAATTCAAAAATTCAACTTTGACCAGTAAGCAAGAGTAAGATAGATGACAATAATTTATAGCAAGATAACTAAAATGCCATAATACAAACATGATTAAAGATTGTAATCAGTTTCAAAGAAAAACATTGTTTTTGCTTGTTTGTATTATTTTTCTACAATTTACATGCTACTTTTATAAGAAGTTACTTACAATTTTTAAAAGAATCAAATCAACATTGTTTATATTTTTCTTTAAAAGGCAATAAAATCTGACATCGGAAGTTCTTTTAGAAGCAAAATAGAAGGACAAAGGGAAATATACCAATTAGATCTCAACATTATTGGTTTGCAATTTAGTCATCATCCTCTATTCAATCAGGAACAAGTATTATGTGCTAGGCTCCTGCAACTTTATGAATGTTTTCAGGACAGGCAGCAACAGAATTTACCACAGCTACTTTATGAAAAGGTGAGAATGGACTTTGTTGTATTTCAGAGCTGAACATTTAGTATGAAAGAGCAAAAGTTCTCAGTATACAGCAAGTTATCATAGAACATTTTCCCTTGCTTTTTTTTTTTTGTACCAGGAATTGAACTCATGAACTCGTGCTTATGCCACTGAGCTAAATCCCCAGTGCCCTCTTGTTATTCTTAATCAGTTATAGCAGTGATTTTAGTTTTTGTGAAAAGAAAAAAAAAAAAACACCTGAGAGTTGACTTGTTGAGACACCTTCAAAAATCCTGCAGTAATTTTATCACATACACATTACTTACTTATTGGTGATATTGTTGTTTCTATGGCTTTGACTTAAAAGAGCCATGTCTACTTTTAAAGTTTTGTAATAGAGTATTTTGATAAAAATATTGGAGATCTTGAATTTCATGTCAAATTGAAGAGTCTTGGTCTGAGATAAGCAATCCAATTTGTCATCTAATGACATGAAAACTGTATAAATTCTGAGGAGGAATCAAAAAGAGTTCCCACTAATCATTTTCAGAAACCTACACCTGTCATTTAGACTCTGCTGGGTTGCCAATATATGAGTGTTTTTTTTAAAGTAGTGTTCTCTTTGACAAGGTGTTTTGATAGATTGTGTTCATCTAATGAGCAAATGAAAAACATCCTAAAGTCTCTGTATATAAATACGCTAATGAAACAAAATTGTTATTACTAGATCAGATTTTAAGATTAGATAATATTGTTGAAGAAAAAGTTCTATAAAGTAGAAATCTATAAACAATTTACTTTTTTGGCAATACTGGGGATTAAGCCTATTTTAACCATAATATAGTTAAACATTTAATTCTGAAGGAGTCACTAAGATATGCTGAAGCAATCAGTGTTCTGCCAACCAAGAAAACTGATCATTTAAGAGCATCCAGTAGTGTCTAATATCTGATAAACCAAAAATGTAAAATACTTTTCTACGTATCCTTGCAGTGTGTGTGTGTGTGTGTGTGTGTGTGTGTGTGTGTGGTGTGTGGTGTGTGGTGTGTGGTGTGTGTGGTGTGGTGTGTTATGGTATGTGTGTAATGTCTAGCCTTGTCTTCTATCTAGTGTTTATAGTTGTGTCTTGGGTGAAGTTAGGGTCCAAATCAATATTTCTCCTCAGAGATTAGCAAAATAACCAAACAATAATTTTTGGGTTTTTTTGTATTTAAATTCTTTGGTTAATTTACATAATTTTATAACTATTATGTAACTATATACATAATTTCTGTACTTTAAGCACTGCATTTAGAATAAGTCAGCTACACATCATATTTTTATAGATTTGTTCAAGAATTATTTATTCTATAGACATACTGGTCTAGTCCTGCCCTATTTTCATCACTGTGTTTAATTACATTTTACCATGTATAATTATTAAATCATGATATGTAGTAGGAAAATTATCTTTTCATTGTGTTTTCTAAAATATTTTGGATACTCAATGGATTTGATATTCCACGGAAACCTTAGAATTCACATCATCCTATACTTTGTTATCACTTTATTGTGGTTATACTATATTGTTGTGCTGTGAAAGAAACTGTGTCTTTATTGCTTAGCTAGGAATAAAGTGTATCCCTATTTGTTTGGACCTTTCATGTATGCCAGTTGGAAAGTTGGTATCAGTTGGCAGTAGTCACCCTTGTACAAATTTCTCCTACAAGTTTAGGGTATAGTTTCCTTCAGTTTATTTCTCGATGACAACATGTGTAAGATAACTGTTTTATACCTTCTGCAGTATACTTTCTTGATTTTATTTTTTCTTATTTTCCTACATTATGTGTTACACTTTCATGGGGATACATAGATTGTCAATATATGTATATAAATATGGATGTGATAATGGCAATGTCTATGGATAAAGGCATATCTTTTCTCTTACTACGAGGTTTTAAGTGGAAGATAAAGTACATACCTCTGCTCAATCTGCCATTTTGATCTAATGGCATTTCTTTAAACAACCGATGAATTGATTGCCTGGTATGTTGAAGATATGATTGTTTACTGCTCGAGTAGATAATTCAGAATCTTGTCAGTTTTGCTCCAAACTTGTTATATGGGGTATATCTTGAAAAACAAGACAGTAATACTCAAAATAGTTCTATATATGTGCTTACACTTACAGATGAATTGCAGTAATGCTTACAGGTAGACGTAATATACCAAAGAGCTCTTTTCTTTGTTTTATAGTTGCAAACACTGACAAATGCTACCCAATCAATTAATGAAAACTTTGAAATAACCCAGCTTATCAGAAAGTCTTTACAAGATTATTATTGGCAGATAAGGTAGGATATTAATCATTCATGCATTCATCAAACATGTATTAACTTCTTTAGATAAATCACTGCACTTGCTGTAGAAGATGTAAGAGAAGTACAAGATCCCTAATCTTTAGGAAATTATAGAAATGGTCACAGTCTTTCTTAGACTAATGTTTGTGTAAAAATATTTCACAGAAGTGCCATGAGAAAGCAGTTGTTGTTTTAATATCCACTAATGTTTTCTAAAAATATTTATTGAAGAAAGTTAATGGATTAACTAAATGGACTTGGATGATAATCTCAGATATTTGCATATATTTGAAAATTAGTGTGCATTTACATAAGTACAAAGTACATAATTCACTCCAAAGATGTGGCTCTATAAACATATGAACTTAAGACCCTTGTGTAAAAAAAACATGGATTACAAGTTGAGAAACTTGGCTTATAAACTAATTAAGAAATACTGGCTTATAAACTAGTTGAGAGAAGTTACCAGAGTATTGAACAACTGGGAAACTATAAAATGAAGCATAATAATGTGTCAAAGAAGTTTCAAAAGTAGGAAAGCTCATTTGGAAGATAACTTACTTGGTAGAAAGTTTAATTGTACACACACACACACACACACACATATATAAATGATTTGATAGGTGCAAAAAATTTCTGATTCTTTGCCCATTGACCTGATATGATTCTTCAGAACCTTAGCCACAAGAGAAGACAAATAACTGATGTTTCCTAGAACAACATTTTAAAATGCAGATAATATTATTTGAACAGGTTAGCATATCCTTTTAAAAAAGGCCTGGCATGAGATGAGTACTCAATAAATATTAGCAGAATAAATAAAAACAATCAGTATTTACAACACAATAAACTGATGTTATTTATATTAACTAAAATTGAAGGCAAAGAACAGCCATTGACATAATGAACACAGAACAAGTAAACTTTGATGCAAGAAACAGGGAAAAGTTGGCTCTATATGGGGTCCAATACTGGTAGGGAATGGTCCACTACAGGAGGTGGAGTGAGGTGCTTACTAGGTAATCACATTTATTAAAATATAAAAATAACAATGTAATAAATTTTGACTCAGGACAATTGATTTTGTGGTTTAGAAATGGTACACGGTATATTTTGGATATCTGAAAGACAATATCTGTGTTAAAAGAGATGTAACATGAAAAACAATGAAAAATGATACACATGTACTTAACCTTTAATGACTTTCTCCTTGCCCACAATTAACTAGGACCCAGGAAAGACATCTCCAAGTCATTTATGACTCCTCTTTTTGCTGCTTCTCTCATCCTTTATGTCCAACTAGTAACCACATTCTTTTACTTTTTAATTTTTAAAATTTCTTTTCCATCCTGTCCTTTCTCTCTTCTGCATTCTCGCCAGTCCTGCTTACTTCAAGCCTTCATCTTCCAGATGGACTACTTTGTCTGCTAATATACCTCTCTTTAAACCCTACTCCATTCTGAAATCAGACTGAATTTGCTTAGTAAACAAAACTTCATTAATGATTCTCCATACTTCCTTCAAAATAAAACTCAAAAGCTTTAGCATGATCTGCAGTTCTTTGCATAATCTCACTCCTGTTCACCTCTCCATTCTCATATTAGGGGCTCTATGTCTTGGAACTTTATACTTCAGTATCCTAAATGGAGCATCTTAATACCTCTCTATTGTGTTTTAATGCTTTTGTTTGTAAATACTCTGTCATTTTTTTCTGTTTAATACTTAGCATACAAAATTTATTTCAATGTTATGTCAATTTTTCAGCAATGCTCTTATGTACCCATTAGAATATATATATATATATATATATATATATATATATATATATATTCTATAAAGGGATAGTGTTTTGTAGTTCCTGTTTCATAATTCTCATCACATTTATAAGTCTTTATTCTGTATTCTTCATTTAGATAGTAGTTTCTGGCATCTAAAATAATTCCTGCCATATAATAAATATCTATTATGTATTTATTGATTTGAAATGAATACTATTCTTTATGAGTACCTATAATTTTATTAAGTCTTTCTCTACTATTGCGTACCATTCTATTATTTATGATCAAATTCTACATTGTCTAGGTTTCTAATGCAACATCTATAATGCTCTATTGCATTGATTAATTTGCATGTCTATAAGTTCCTTAAATCCATAGAGCATGTCTTTTGACCTGTTTGCTCATGTTTGCCAGCACAATGCCTGACATGTAACAAGTATTGAATAATTACCCACTGAATGAGTGGATGATTGAGGAAAATAGGCTTCTGTTTCTAGCAGTATAGTAACCTGGATTTCCTGAATAGCCCTACCAGGGTAAACAACTAAAATGTCAAATGAAATACATAATTTATTTTTATAAACAAATTCCTGAGGTAGCAGGAACATAAGGAGTATGCAGAAGTCAAAAACAAAGTGAAAGGAAAAATCCTAGGAAATCAGAAACAAACTACCTTTTACACTGAGCTATCATTAAAGAGGTGTAATAGAGTACTGAGGCAAAAAATAAAGCGAGTTTAGACTAAAGTCTAATAAAGATTACTATGTAACAGGTGTTAAATCTCAGAAAGTAATCAAAAGGGAATGATAAAGAAACTTGTCTTTGATCTTGACACTAAGAAAAGAGGAAAATTTCCCTTTTGACAGTTCATAATCAGGGCCAGGGATTTAGTTCAGGGGCATAAGCACCTGCCTGGCAAGCACAAGATCATGAATTTAATCCCTGAAACCAGAAAAAAATTCATAATAAAAAACCAAACTTAATTCAGAATTATGACCTGAATTAGATAGATTTATTTTTAAAATTTTGATAGTATTGAAGGTTGCATCTGGGACATACCACCACTGAGCTACATCTCCAGGCCTTTCTCTTGTTTATTTATTAATTCATTTATTCATTTAATTTTTTGTGATATTGGTGATTGAATCTAGGGCTACATCTCCATTGATACAGAATTGTGTTAAGGTGCCCAGGCTGGGCTCAGGCTTACTGTCCTCCTGTCTCATCCTCCCAAATAGCTAGAACTATTGGCATGATCCACCATACCCAGCTCAAATTTAGTATTTAACTTGAGATGGTCCCACATTGGTAGTGATAACAAACAACTGGCAAACCAACTATATAGTCATCTGGAAGAACACAGTTTTAATCCTAGCTCAGAGATTATTCGTAGATACATTATTATAGAGAACATGATCTCTTCTTTTGCAATTACACAAAGATACCAGGAGGAAGAAAGAGCACCAGTAATCGTAGAGATGTATAAGACTTAGGAAAGATAATGGAATCATCAAATATGTAATATAACTTTATTTAAATAAAAGGCAAGATTGAAGATATCTCCAAATAAGATACAGTTCTGGGAAGACAGAAAAGGACCTTACAGTTCAGATATTGGGCTCTATGCTATTATCACTGATTACTACTTCTGATTACAGCAGTGCAAAGAGATGGAAACCTTTGTTGCTTTACCTTGCCTCATTGTTGCAAGAGCTTCTTCTTAACTCCTTGTAGGTTCTCTTGAAATTCTAACATCCTAAATTGGAACCAGTCCTACTGTAGTGGCTTTGGAGCCACCTACATAACTTATGTGTTGACAAAATAAAAGTTGTGGGTGCCTCAGCCATACCAAAGCAAGCAAAAAACAACAGATGGGCATGTATTCTGTTTCACACATAGTGAATTATTAGTTAGAAATTAACTAAAATGCTACACGTATTGCAGGAGCAATTATCACAATGTATGGGCTTCCAACCTCTTTATTGTTATTTTCCTCCATATCCTTCTTTCTTTGGTATTTGGTATCTTGTGGAATTCTAGTTAGGGTATTTCTGTTTTCAGGAGAATTTGCATTTTATCAGGGAATTTTTGAACAGAGAAAAAATCTTTAAAGAATTATTTTTAATGATAAATTATTAAAATATGTTAAATAAGACAGACATTTCAGGTACAATGGAAAATAAAGTGGAGGTTCAGAGAAATTACTCTAATTTATTCTTCCAGACTGTTTTTAATAGTTGAGAGTTCTAACCCACGGACTTATTTTTGATTTTGCCATTATATTTTTGCAGTAATACAAAACAACTATATAACTTTGAACTGGAAAAGGACCTGTCCCTTCTACATAGTATATTACAGACCTGGAAACAGATAAAGTCCCTTAGACAACGGCAAGGTTTCACAAGCACTACGATAAAGTTACTGTTTCAGAGGTAAGAAGCTGCTTTATTGCTCTTGTTTCCTAAGAAACTGCTCCTGAATAATGAAAAATTATGTTAACTGGGGAAAAGATCTAGAATCTATACAACAGTTCCATTTGATCAACAAAAAACTTATAAACAATCCTTACAGTTTAAGAAGACAGCCAGTTTAAAAATGGACACAGGCTTTGAACACTTTACTAAAGAAGGTGGCAAATGAACACACGAAAAATTCTTGTTCATGACATCATGTTATATCAATAGAGAAATGCAAATTAAAATTGGAATGAAATACTACTACACACCTGTGCCAGTGCCTAAAAGATACAACTTTTGTGAAAGAACCTGAGCCAAAGACACTTTCATTTATAGTTAGTGGGCATGCAAAATCAGATAGCCACTTTGGAAACACCTTTAATAAACTTAAACCTGGCAACCATACTCCAGGGTGAAGCATATTTTAAGTAATCAGATGAAGTTGTCAAAACATTTGTACTGGAAGAGATAATTATAATACAAAAACAAAATTTGTTAATCACTTAAACTGCTTGTGAACTCAGAGTGAAACAACTGGTTCTATCCCCACAGCTCATTGTCTTGGGTCTTTTCTTTTTCAAAACTATATACTTTTAGTGTAACTTCAGGCAATTAGGAAATACGTGTCTTGTTAATTTTTGTCTGCTACAGTTTTTGTGGTATTGTTAATTGAACAATTGTCAGCTTTAAACTGAGCTTTATCCTCATCCCTGTCCTGCTTTAAATTAGAGACAATCTGTGCAATTAAATTGCACAGATTGGACTCAAACCTTCAATTCTCCTGATTCAGCCTCCTAGAGTGCTGAAATTATAGGTAGACCTGTTTTAAGGAGTGTTTCTGACAATCTGTAAACCTAAATTCAGCATGATTTGTGTACTTCTAAATTAATGTAAATTTGATGAGTTGCTTCTAATCTTTTAAATCACCTTGTCACATCCATGTGTCATGAACTCCTGAGCAACAAAGAAGAGCCACTGATATCATAAGGTTCCCAGAACAGTGTTCTGGATCCACATTGTCTATTCACTACCACATCTTGTTTCCATTACTTTAAACTCCAGTGTCACATGAGCCCTTCATATTTGTTCTCCCTGACATTTAATTATTCACTGGATTTGGGCTTTCCCACTAGATTTGGGCTTAGATTCATCTCTCCAGACCACTTCTTCCTGGATACCTCTGAATAAATCCCACAGTGTCATTGACTAGACTGGCACCAAAGGATTAGCCTTCTGTGATCCTAAACTGGGGCATTTTGTTTAAGCTGTTCAAGTATCCTTCTGATCAATTAGAAAAGCATTATGTTTGAAGATGCTTCAGAAACTCTTTCCTGGCCAAGTTTATCATTTTTGATCTAACAACAAGCCTGATACCTTTGCACCCTAACAGAATAAACTTGCAGAAAGGTTGTATTTATGATAAGAAAGCTGATTACCTACACACTAAGCTCAGTTTATTTTTCTTCATATGTTTGTTTCAAGGCATACTGAATTTGATAAGATTTTCTCAGTAAAGCACCTGAGTACACAGATAAATGTATGGTTTGTGCTAAAAATGAAAATATGAAACTCTGTAACTTGCAACTGATTTGATATGACTTTAAGATTTTTCGAAATAAAGCACCCAAGTGCACAGCTGAATGTATGGTTTGTGCTAAAAATAAAAATATGAAACCCTTCAGCTTAGTAATTGTAACTGAAGCCATATCTATATAGAAACTGCTTAGGGAGAAGGTAAAAATAAGATGAGAAGAAACCCAAGGACTGAGATTTGCAAAGCTGCTTCAAATGGTTGGGAGAAAGAGGATGAATCAGAGGAAGCATTAGTTAGAGCAGTGCTGGCGCACCTATGGCATGTGTGCCACAGCAGGCCCAGAGAACCCTCTCTGTTCCTGCATGAGCCAAACTCCCCCAGCCAAACTTTGACAGATTATCAGCATGCGTACAACAGCAGAGATCACATTAATTGTGCAGAAGTACGTCAAATGCATACTTTTACCTTTCAGTAAAAAGCTTTTTGTATCAATGAAGGCTCTTTTAAGACAAAAGATGTTAACATTTGAGGTGTTTTTTCTAAATTAAAATCTCAATATGCAGGTTTAATTGCAGTGTTGGCACTGTGTGATTAATAAATGGTTAGATTTCAGTTTGGGCACTCAGTCTCTAAAAAGATTAACCATCACTGACTTAGGGCCTTTCACCATAGAAGCAAAGAAAAGAGAGCACTGTATTTTAAACAGGGGAAAGTCACTGACAATGCTTAATGCTTCTAAAATACCAATTGAGTTCAGGACTAAAAATGTCCATTGAATTTCTTGATATGGATGTTCACGGTAATCTTAGCTAAAGCAAGTTTATACCATGATAGTGGTAGAAGTTGCAGATAAAGCCCTAATATTCTCATTTTGGCAAGAAACTCTTTTTGTCAAGTGTTAGCATATTGATTGCTTCCTTAGGATATAAAGCAAATTGTTGCAAATGATGGGTTGTGAGTAAATATGTGTAAGGGTGTTTGCATGTGTGTCTGTTTTGGCAAGACTTCCCAGAAGTCTCAAATACTTCCATTATTTTGCTTTAAATAATTCTATTTATTACTAATTAGGATAAAAATGAATGAATGTAATGAGCAAGAAGAAACACAAATGTCAGAAGTGTCTGAGACTAAAAAGAAAAGTGAAGGAAAAGTACTTAAGAATGAAGAAAAACAGGAGGTATTTATATCACAAAGTAACCTTTAATTCCTCTCATCTAGTTATAATATTTCACTGAAATAGGAAATTTTGAGATATGTAAAAGATACAAACAAAATAATAAATATAAGAAATAGAACTTTACTTTTAAGAATCATTTTCTTAGATGATAAATGTACATGGTAAATTGTAGATTAATTAATTCATTTATTTTGTTTCTAGAACTTTTCTTCTTTAGCTTCTGAACTTGATGACACAGAAATTGAAAGAATAAATCCAATTACCTTCAGGCCACAACTTGATTTCACAGCAGAAGTAACAAAGTTATTCAACTGTTCACTGTAAGCATTTTTAAAGAATTATATTTTCATTATATATTGCTTATTAATTATATTGTTCTTAATAATAATATTAGATTTCTTGGATGGATACCATATACTAGACAACTTGTTAATTTTTTTAATTTACATTTTCATATTTAATTGTCATGATAGCACTACGAAGTCTTACATTATCCTTATTTTAGAAGTGAAGGAATTGGGTCTTACGGAAGGTTAAGTAGTCCAAGATCACACATTTAATAGGTGCGTGCCTGAGCTGAAACATAAACCAGTTTGCCTTGTCATGTATTTTGTAATAAACTTAATATATTGATCACCTTTTAAAAGTTTGTGAGGTAGTAAATTTTTTTAGGTATAGAGAGAAAAGATTACAGCAAAAATGAGGAAAAAGGTGAGAGAAGATGGGAAAGAAGGAGAAAGATTGTACCATCATCTTTCCTTGTTAAAGCACTTTTAGCTCTCATAAAAACTATTCCATGTAACTTTTTTTGGAGGCCTACGACTCTGTTTACTGACTCTGCCCCAGAGCTATAGCTGTCATAATCCCTCTTTCATTCACCATGGAAGCCAATAAAGATTATTGTACTGTAAACTTAGCAAAAAAAATTTATTCCACAGCAAAAGGATGCCTCCAGACAATTTCTTTCTCTGACAGCACAAACCTCATTCTTCCCAGTTACAATTCTTCCATGAATGATACACCAGAAGACTAATGCAAAAACACATCCTGCATATTCTCATTTCTCTAGTCTACTAGGATATGGGTCCCACTGATCTTAACGAGGATATGGCAATTTAGACCACTTGAACTAGTTCCAATTTTTAAACATCTCTATCCCATAGGAGACATTTTTCTCATCCATTTTTGAATATTGTGGTTGTTCATCAGTTATCACGGAGTTAGAACACAGTGGGTAACAATACACATTGATATTCATTAAATGAATAACTGGGCATGTCTTCTATACTTTCCTTGTTGGTGGAACAAAGTACCCAACACCCCCAACTTAATAACAGGTACATTTTTGGTTCATGTTTTTAGAGTTTTCAGTTCATAGTCAGCTAGTTCAGGGAAGATGTGACACGAGAGAAGGGCTTATGCAGAGGAATCCTGCTCCTGTCAGATGACCAAGAAGCAGAGAGGAAGGAGGAGCCCATGAGGAAGATAGGCCCTATCAGGTCTCACCTCCAGTGGCCCAGGTCTCACTTCCGAACAGCAAGTTGGCTATAATACTTCCATGATATAATCATCTTCCAAAAAGCCCTGAGACTCTTGGGGAACATTTGGTTATAAATCATAACAGAAGGGTTACATTTTAAACTGAACATAATAGCAAACATAAATGTCTAATTATCATAACCATCTTTCTGACCAGAGAAGTCCGCAGTGAAGCAATTTTTTATTTGTTCTATGCCTCTTTCCAATAAGTTCCTGGAATCATTTGTGATGTAAGACATACGTAGAAAAGGATCATCTACATGAGGGTAAGGAAACAGGAGCCATAAAATTTAAGTTGAAAGAAAGAGAAGAAAGAACATATTGCTGAGCTTGAAGGAAGAGCTAGAAGGAAGAGCTAGCTTGACAGTGGAAGTCAAGGCAAAGGGATATATAATACTTTTTATCTTTTTAAAGCCATAGTATCTGTGGTGTTGCAGTCCAAACACCCAGTTCAATAAAAATATCCTTTATCAAAGATAAAGATGAAAAGAATACAAAGATTAAAAAAAGAATTTAAAATGATTTACAGTTGAATAAAAAGGTAAGATCTCCTTTAAATATAATCCTGAATTAACAAAATTTTATTTAAATTTATGAGCTCAGTGTTAAAACTACATTTAGAGAACAGCATAAAGGGAAATATTTACTTAGCTATTTCTCTGAAGATAATTAGAAAGATGGTCAGAAGAGGCCAACAGAGAGACAGAAAAAAAAGTAGTTTATATTCCCAAAACCGCTGAGGTTGAGCCTGACGGACCACCCTCTCTCACCCGAAGGCCACACTACAGCAGCCTGCCAGGAAAAGTGAGTTGGGCCAAGCCATGGGACCCCGTTTCAGCCTGGCAGACCACCCTCTCTCACTCAAAGGCCACACCACAGCACCCTGCCGGGAAGAGTGAGATGGGCTGAGCTGCAGGACCCTGTTGCAGCCTTGCCGACCACCCTCTGTCACCCAGAGGGCACACGGCAGCTGCCCCACCTGAAGGAGGGAATTGGGCCAAGCTGCGGGAAACTGCTCCAACCTTGCTTCTTTCGGCCTGAAGAGCACCAGCAATACTGCTATCACCTGGAGGAGGGAGCAGCCCTTCTGAGAAGGTTTGAGGCCTACCTAGGCCATAGGGGGACCCTCTATCAGCCTGGGGAGCTTTGCCATCCAAGGAGCTGGATGGTTATACAACATCCAATCCCCAGGAGAGTATGAGACCCTTGCTTTAGGGGATTGGGGGCCCACTGGGCTTGCAGCCACACTAGATTGGGTTTAACGGATTTGAGATTGCCTGGACCACACCAGGTGGCCTTCTTTGCTGCCACAGTGGGGGAGCTGTGTAGCTTGAGGAGGCTTTAGGTCTACCTGAAAGGAGCCTGGCAACCTTCTCTTAATCTGGGGGCTTCACTGCTCAAGAAGGGAGCTACACTGCCAGAGGAGTTCCAAGAGTCCAGGACATAAGAGACAATATCCAACATGCCCAGGGGAAGCTTGGAACAACACTTGAAGCTCAGAAATATAGGAAAATGACAAAACGAAAGACCAAAATGCAATCTCAAACATCCACCCCATCCCAAGAAAGCCTAGGAGCCATGTACATAGAAGAAAATACATGCCATATGCCTGAAATACCTGAAATAATAGTAACCGAAATAAAGAAGCACCTCCGGGAAGCCTTAAAGGAATTCAAACTAGAAATAATCTCTCAGGTAAAAGAAGAAATGATAAAAGAAAGAAGGAGATGCAGAACATATCTAAAGAAGACACAGTTAAAAAAATACTGGAGGCACTAAACAAAAAGAATCCCTGGATGAGCAATATAAGAAACAAACAATATATAAAGCAGATGCAAAGAGATATACAGGAAATCAAAAATTCCATTGAAAATTGTAAAAACCGCCTCAATGAATATGAAGATAGAATTTCAGACCTCGAAGACAAGATTGCAGCTAGTGAACAGGAAAAGAAAGATCTTTTAAAAATAACAAGAAATCAGGAAATAATTCAACACCTGCAAGATGACGCAAAAAAAAAAAAAAAAAAAAACCATAAGGGTGATAGGGATAAATGAAAAAGAAGGGGACAACATAAAGGATGTCAAGAGGATATTTAGAGAAGTAATAGCTGAAAATTTCCCAAACATGACATTGGAAACTGATATCAAGATCAATAAAGCATATGGAATTCCAAATATCCATAACCAAAACAAAACTACACCCAGACAAATAATAATCGCCATTCCATAAATCAAACAAAAGAATAGAATATTATAAAAGCTGTCAGAGGGAAAAGACAGATCATCTATAAAGAAAAACCTATCAGAATTACAGCAGACTTCTCAGCACAAACAATAAAGTCAAGAAGAGCATGGAGTGAAGTATTTCAGATCCTAAAGGAAAATGATTTCTAACCTACTGATGTACCCGGCAAAATTGTCCTTCAAAATCGATGGAGAAATAAGATACTTCCATGACAAAGAACAGCTGAAGAACTTCATGATCACCAAGCCAACCCTGCAAAGAATACTGAAACACAGCCTAGATACATTTAGGAAAAAAACCACTAAACAAAGCAGACAATTAAACAGAACAGAAAGATAAAGATGCAACAGCAGAAAGATAACGTGTCAACAATATATATAACAGTTATAACCATTAATGTAAATGGTCTCAATGCACCAATTAAAAGAAACAGACTGGCAGAATGGATCAAGAAACAACATCCAACCATATGCTGTCTACAAAAAAACCCATCTAACCCAAAAGGATACTCACAGACTGAAAGTCAAAGGATGGAAAACAATACTTCATGCAACAGGAACCCAAAAAAAGTGGGAATAGCTATTCTGTTTGCAGATAATGTAAACTTCAAACCAATAATGATCAGAAGGGATAAAGAAGGTCACTACACACTGGTTATGGGAAAACTTCAAGAGGAAGAAGTAACTGTCTTAAATATATATGCACCAAACTCCAGAGCACCCAGTTATATAAAACAAGTATTAACAGAAATAAAAAACCAAATTAGCAGTAAGACAATTATAACAGGAGATCTTAACACACCATTGACACCAAAGGACAGATCAACCAGACAGAAATTCAGCAAAGAAATAAAAGAACTGAATCACACCTGTGAACAAATGGACTTGATAGACACATACAGAGTATTTCACCAAACCACAACAGAATACACATTCTTCGCAGTAGTACATGGGTCATTCTCTAAAATAAAACATAAATTAACTCACAGAACATATTTAAATAAATGCAAAAGAGTTGAAATTATCCCTTGCACATTATCGGATCATAGCATGATGAAATTAGAAATTAATGATAAAAGATATTGGAAACATCCCACAAACACATGGAAACTGAATAACACATTATTGAGTAATCAGTGGGTCACAGGAGAAATTAAAGAAGCAATTAAACAATACCTACAACAAACGAAAACACAAATACAACTTACCGGAATATGTGGGATGCAATGAAAGCTGTCCTCAGGGGAAAATTTATTGCACTGAGTTCCCACATCAGGAAAACAGAACGAATACAAATAAATAATGTGATGCTACACCTCAAACATCTAGAAAAAGAAGAGCAAGTCAAGCCCAAAGCCAAAAGAAGAGAGGAAATTATAAAAATCAGAGCAGAAATCAATGCAATAGAGACTAAGAAAGAAATCCAAAAAAATCAATGAATCAAAGAGTTGGTTCTTTGAAAGAATAAATAACATCGATAAGCCCCTAGCCAACCTTATATAAAAAAGGGAAGAAAAAGCTCAAATTCACGCAAT